TTCATGTCTCTTTGCAATTATTAGAATCTTTTGCGGAGTGTATTACATAAATTTCCGCAATGACCTTGAAATAAAAGAATCCATTTATGATCACTACTTCATATTTTTTCAAAATTGCTTTTGGAGCAAATTTTATTTTTATGATTGAATAAAAATCACCAATCAAACGGTTAGTGTTATTTTTTCCTGTTTGATTTCCGTTTAAACAGTCGGAATTATCTTTAAAATATTTTTGGGACGATCTGACGTGAATTCGATATGTATCTTTTCAAACGAAACCATACTTAGAGAAATTTCTATGCTAAGTGGTCCATATTAATGTTTTTTTACTTCATTGGTGAGAAGTGATCAAGAAAATCTCTTTCACCTCAGCGGCATTCTTCACTAAGAATTTTTTGCAATGATTGTAAATTACTTTTTGCTATATTATTTGAGCAGTCGTTATATAGAACTTCAAAATGCACATCTATGCTTTAGTCTTTCTGTTTTCATGTTAATTTCTTTCCTGGTAGTAGCTGCTTTCTAGTTTAGTACTCAAAGTCACATTATCGCGTGTCAAAGGATATGTGCTAATAAAGAATTAAAATCGATTCATTCCACTATTTTTTAAGATTCTTTTCACTTTTATATTCGCGAAAATTTCATTAAGCAGAATATTTATTACTCATGCTTTAGTAGATTTTCTAACATGTTGCTGGAAGGCTCTTGTAAAAATTCATATCGTAATCTTTGTCTGGTTGTTTATCATCATTGTAGAATATTTTTGTGGCATTTTGTTTGTTTTTAAAGTTAACTTAATTCACTTATCTTTTTTATATTCATAATCATTACTAGTATCATACTAAATTTACTAGTAGTAATGATTATGAATTTAAACACTAAGCTTAGTCTTGTAATGCTTGACAGTTATTCTTTCCCCCCTTCCTTTTGTGGGGGATGACAAAAATTTATAATCGAAAAAATGACTCGTGAGGGGAACTTTTGGATAAAGTTGGGATTGAGAATTTCATTCATAAGCACAAAATATGAAAACTATAATTACTTTGAATATGTTAATATAAAGGGAGTTAACTCACGAATAAGATTCTGTCCCATAATTAATATCTGAATATTTGGTCACCCATGTAGCACATGATGTACAAAAAGCCATAATTTGAAAGGAAATGAATTCAACAAATTTAATTCTTCAGAACCATAATCATCGCTCATTTATATTCCCACTCTTTTAACACTATTCAATTATATTGTCACTGACTAAAACAAAACCTGATGAGTGATTTCGTAGTGGGAAGCAAAAATCATATGAATACCTTTATCACTTGAAAGGACTTTACTATTGCAGTGTTTCAACAATATAGTGGTCTTTTAGATATGCTTCCTTCTCCTTATCCTCAAATATTTTATACTCATATTTGGATATATCAAGTCATTATATGAAGCCATGATGTAACCCAAGTAAATTTGGAACTTTCTCACTCTCATGCAATGCTAAAACTTCTATCCATAATAATTTAAACAAAACTAGCAAAACAACATGCAGATTAGGATTGATATATGGTCCTGATTCATTTGACTACTTAATCATTCTGCAAGAGTGATTGGTTTCTAGTTACAAGAATTCTTTCGAAGTTCTGTTTTTAAAATTTAGTCCATCTTAACTATGCTCTATATTGTTATACAGCTATCCATCATTCTGCTCATGGATTTGCAGTGTTCTTTAATACTAAATGGAATGGAAGCTAATGATGTCCGTGTGAACGAAATGTGCTTACGGATTTTATAACTCTGTTTGCGAAAAATTGTAAAGTAATCAAGCGCTTTATTTCAAAAGTGATATTGTACAACATGGAAGTAGAAGAAAATCTCTTTCTTTTCATTCCTTCATTTCGAATCTACAGTTTACATTTAAGTATAAATAAGACAAAATATAATGTCAGACATTATTATCGAATTATTCATTGCTGGATGGGTGAGGGCCGAAATAAGTGGCCAAGACCATGGAATCATCCAGGACTGTCAGAAGTGTGCACTTGATTCTTTCTATTATGCAGAATAATGGTGGCCAGTACCCATCAACCTCTTAATTAAAATATTTGTGAAAAAAAATTTAGGTGTAAGAACAGCAACGTAAGTGGGAAGGAAATGTAATGCTGAAGCCTTCCGGATATTACAGATGTTTACATATACGGTTGTGTGCTAGGAACGAATGATTATTTATAATTATGGATAGTTGATATTGATTTGCGATAACAAAAATCATAGTTTTGAATGACTATTTGGTATAACATTTGAGGTACATATAAAGTAAGAAGTTTGATGTATTAAAATGAAAAATTCTGGGTCCTAAACATTTTGCATATATTTAGGAAACAATAGTTTTGAACAAGCCATTCGGTATAAGAATTCAAAAAACTACATGGAAGGTGTGACGTTTAAATTTAAATTCAAATTTCACTTTATCTTTATAATTCGGATTTCATTTTCTTTTAGAGAAACTGGAAATTCTATGTATAAGTATGTTCATTGCGAGAATAATGAAGATTAGTCAATACAAAAAAGGCATAGAGAAATTTTGTTAAAATTGCTGTATTTTTAGATAGTGTTCGTGGATCCATGTGGGGCGGCAGCTAATTTGGCATTTGTCGGTGACATCATTCTATCTGTCGATGATACCGAAATCCATGATTCTATAACATTAATAGAAATTATGCATAAGTCAACAGCTGTATTTTTTCACTTAAAAATATTTAGCATATTCTAAAATCCATCGACGACTTCGAAAAATCTAAGATATGAAGAAAGTCCTGTAGATCCAACGTATTGCTTGTGAATAGATTGTATCCTTGGTAAAATGGGAAGGGAAAGGAAAGTTAAATTCAGAATATCATCTCCTGATGTCTATGGAAAAGTTACTCATCACTATTAAATCATTAATAAACTCCAAAAGCACTTTTGTTGTGTACCAAGGTTTTAAATGATTAAGGATTTTCTGAATGTTTATAGAGAGCTTCTGTAAAACTTCGGAGAAATGCATATTCTCATTGTCGCCGTGTTCAATCTACTGTTGAAACACTCATAGTGAAACGTGAAACTAAACTTCTACGAGCTGTTAATGTTTACACAGTAATTATCCTTGGCTGTCAGAAATAAAAAAAAATTCTGAACTTTATAATTTAACAGATGATCGGAAGTCTATAAATTATGACTACTTGAGAAGGGTGTATTCTGCATCGGAATTGGGACTGTGATAGTGAATTTATTTCAGATAGAAGCTGTGACTCTTGCGAGACGCTGTAACAAATATCATCAAAGTTCAATCCACTTCTTCCCATTTACTTATTAAATATTATTATCCATTTTTGATTTGACAGGTATGCGTCCATGCGAGAGACTTGATACCTCCGGATGAGAGTGATTTGTTAGGGTTATCTGTATCATATGATGCTCGAGAGCGACTTCAAGTAGCTTCAGCTAAATGCTGGAGCCTTGCTGCTATTCACCTACGTCCAGGAGATACGATCAAGTAAATTTTTTAATTATCTCAGATGTGATTTTCTGGAAATCCGGAATTCAACCCGTGAAATTCAAGTTTGAGAAGACAAGCTAGTTTTCAGTGCTACCAAAATACTGTTGAAAATTTTCGAAATTATTGACTTTTCGATCTTTTTAAAAAATTTCTCCAACATTCGAAAAAATACCGAGCATTCTTTAAAATTTCGATAATTCGTTTAGCTTATTTGATATTGAACTGTTTAAATAACACGCTATCCAATTTTTCTCAGAGAAGTGAATCGTCATCCGACTGCATCAAAATCTATGCTGCAGTATTGGATATTGGCAAGTATGGAAAAAAATGGTTTCGTAAGTGTTTGAAATTAGTATAATTGGAACGTACCTTAAATCACACTCATCCATAACCTACCTTACGTATCACTACCAATAACATTATCAAGATTAATAAAACTATTAACATGTTGTTACAGGTTGAATTACTTATTCATAGTAATGTCGACCAAAACAGTGTTTATGATTATGAGCTCGAAATGCCCGAGGACGTAGTAACTATAGCAGCGAGAGAAGTGTGTATTTCACCATAACCACCTCACAAAAACAACTCAGTTCGATTTTTCCCTTTTTTTGGGTTTGGAAATAAGAACAGTTTCCCACAAACTGCGGAGGGATAGGATTTACATTCAAAACCGAAGTGATTTTCAAAAAAGAAGCAGCAAATATGCTAACATTCCCATTCTGAATTTTTTTTTTTATATTTTCCTTCAGTTTATTTTCCCTATTCCTAATATCTTACCATTCGGAACTCTATCTGAATTTATTGAAGAGTAATTCCATAAAGAATTTTTTATTTATTATGAGATCACTTTTCAACGCCCACAATCGCGAAATACGAAAATGATGGCAATATAATGCTCATTGCTCATTCCTATTAGCTCCAAAAGAAAAGAATCACTGTAACAAAGACAAATTTCTCAATTTTTTGAAAATTGGAAAACCATGAGCTTGACGGCTAATGCGAAAATTGAAAAAAGAACAGTTTCAGATAAAAATGCTACGATCAATATCTTCTAAACAATTTCAAGAAACGAAAACAATTTTAAGGAAAGGTTTAGAACTTCCAAAGCATAAAATATCAGTATCTGTATGCGATAAAATCATCGAATTTCCCATTGGAAGTGATTATGACCCAAAAAAGTTGCGCAAAGAGAGAAAAGGTTACAAAAAGACACTAAAACAGAAAAACTTTAATTTAAATGTTGAATTTCATGTGAATTTTAGTCAAAACGCACATATAATGCTTAAAGTACTAAATGAAAAGTTTTCGTGCAAATGATGAAGGTGAAGGAAACTTCAAAAATATTAATAAAAACAAAAGTATTTTTCAGGAAATTCGATAACTTGATCTATCATCCTTGCATTATTATTCCTCTCTTTTTTCGCCTCAATTAACTCTTCCGAAATATCATTTTCTAGCATTCCTTTCCTTTTCATCTGGTATTCGTACAAGCATTCAGTGCATATAATTCTGCTATTTGTCGCTAGAATAAACTGAGATTTAACTTATGTTGATATGCTTGTTACTGTTATTAAATCAAGAAAAAATCTGCAAAAAATTATGTGAATTCTGCATGGTTTTCAAACTGATAGTAATTAGTTTTCGGAAATCTGATCATTTACTGTCGCAGAACACACAACGTTGTGAACCTTAAAATCCAGACCGTTTACATACTCTGATATAGCAAAGTAAAGTGTAATGCATATATGAATAAAGTTCCTAAGAAATGTTTAAATGATCGTCTAGATTTTTCTTACTGTTTCTGAAACGTAAAAAAATCCACTCTAAAACTCTTCCATGTTCATAATTCATTTAATAGTTCTTGCTTACCGCTTCCAATTCATCCTCCGTTTCTTCGACTGCAGAAACAGTGACTGAACCAACCTTCTCTTGATTTTTTACATGTTTCTGAAATAAAAATTACAATAAAATGAACAAGAAGAAATATAGAGATGATTAAGACAAAATGCCGACTGACCTTTTTGATTAGTTTGCAAGTTTAAGGTCACCAATCTGTTGTGCAGAACATAAAGCATTATCAAAGGTAAAAAGATAATTTTTAAAGTTGAATGGATGATAGTAGAAAAGTAGAATCCCGAACTTGTGACTCTTTTTTCTACACTGCTGTTCCAGTCTTTCGCTTCTAAAAAACAAATACAATTCAGGTATAAAGTAATAAGAAATGAGAAATAAGAAAAATTTAAATCAGTTAAATGTGAACCCAAACCACAAGCATATCGTGATAACTAAGCAAAGCAAAATAAAATTAGAAAAGACTATCGTTTTTCTTTACAACTCTAAAATTTCCCAATAGATTATAGAATTCAAGAATGTAAGTACGGCAAATTTCAAAATATGCAGATTTCGACACACAAAGTTCACCTTCGTACATACACAGTGTCACCATTAACACCAATGTTTCAGTTTCTGTACGTGGGGATCGATTGACGCGTGATGGCTGTAAAAGCATTGATAACAATGTATCTGTTATCATCTCTATCTGTAATAAGATTGTTAAGTAATTTACCAAATTTGCATGTCAGCATTTTAATCAAACAAGTAATTAATTTTAAATGCACTGTGTTAAATATATAATTGGTCCTGAATGTAGCGTTACCTCCTTCAAGGGTTAAATGCCTCCATTTCACACTAGAAATGACTCCCTTCTAATCTTTCTTCTCATAAAAGAGGATTATGTACCTATTATGTACTGATCAAAGAATTATGTATTGAATTATGGTTTAACAAACCATTGCACATTATTATTAACAAAGTGTTCTCAGTCTTGCTCATCGATGATTTTACCTTCTTTTCGAAAACGATCATCCTCTACGTGTTCCACTCTCGATTACCAATGTCATCTCCATGTCAAAAAATTGTATGTCAAAAAATTGTACCAATAAAGTGGAACTGAAGTACGAATAACGAATACCAACAATTTAGGAAACGCCGCCAGTTTGGAAATCGACTAAATACTGCCCCTACAGACATGTGATTTCCCTCATAAGTCTCTCTTCGTCATTTCTGTCCATCTCTACCATCCTTCGAATCAGTAGTCATTAACATCTCCCATCACAATCTACCCTATTATCCTTAACAAGTTCATAGTCGTCTCTGCCCTTCTCATTCAGCCCCACCCGTCTCAGTACCCGCTTATTCTGGTCAGATCTGTAGTATGGCAGGTGGGAAATGCGGTGAAGGAGACACTTTGCGGTGCTGTGGTCTGTTACGAGCTTTCCAGTGGGCATGTCATAGGTCCTTGGATGGTGTTGTATTCATGTGATGGGACAGGTATTTTAGACTTTACTGGCATTCCTATGACTTGTTATTTGTTGCTGTATAATTCTTACCTCCTGAATGTAACGGATCATCAGATATTATTAGCAGATGTATTCTCGAGTATTGTTCCGCTGAATTGTAATGATTCTATATGCAGTTTATCTTTCTATATATCTGAATAAGTGTTGGTCATGAAGCTTCTCTAACTGTAACAGTTAATTAGAAACTAAAAAGAGCGGAATGAAGTGTGTTGTAATTGAAATAAATGGATGAAATAGTATGTAAAAAACAAATTGTTTAGCATTTATCGGTTTTTTTGGTATTGTTTTGGAATGTCTTTTCTTGACTGATCTGTTTAAAACAGCTTCAAAAAGCTCAGTTTTTCATATCATTTGAAAATATATCCACAGATATACCTATAAGTTAAAAAGGAATTTATGGAGAAAGGCTAATTCATGTGACTTAGGAATTGGAAGGTTAATCTCGATATTCATTCTTCAGTTATTATATCCTTTCAGCTTTTTAAATTAAGGTTTTGTTTGGGTAAAATATTTACTGAATGAACAGGGTGATATTTCAGTTAAAGATGTATGATGTCGTTGCTACTCTAGCACTCAATGAAACTGGAATAATGCATGTCGTTTATGTAGGAGAAAAGATTTCTCTTCTATTCTTTGACATCTGGATTTTCGAGCTCATTATTTTCTACAAGCGAGTGGAAGCTAACTTCTAACAACTTATTCTTATTATGCAAAATTGAAATGAGTGAAAATTTAATTGATGCAAATAAGCTGTTACTATAAAGAATATTTTAGGCTGAAAGAAGTAGATCCTTTATGTTTGGTAACTGGATTGAATTTGAAGAAAGTAGTTATAATGTTATAAAAGGTTGCACTGAGAAGTATGTAAAGATATTTCCATTGAGCATGTCGTTTTAGTGGTGATCATCTGCAGGAAGAGAACTTTTTAACAAAATGCGAAAATTCAGTATTTGCAAACTCACTTTAGAAATAACTTAGCACTTTACGAGAATAAATTTCTGTGCAATAAAAAAAGTCTTCCAGGATATTTTAGAGTCGGATTAAGTTAAAAGCATCATTTACTGTAGTGATTGCGTAAAAAATGATACTTTTTGGATTTGTTAAGTAGAAGGAATTTAGCTGATTTTATTTTTGGTAACTTCTTAATGATGAATTCAATCTTAATGATGAATCAACTTATGTTTTTTCACCATCAGCTCGTGGATGGGAAAATGAATGTTACTATGAATTGTTCGGTAAAGTTCGAGTCGATTCAGAAAAAGATCAAAAAAGCAATTTTTCAATTGCTTTTTTGATGTTGCACACCGTAATCCATAAAAGATGATTAACTTAGAAGTTCGTTTTTATATAGCATTTGACTTCATGAGTATTTCTCGTGTTCCTTAATACAGCTGAAGCTTATGACATGAAACAATAAACCATTGCTCTGCAGGATTTTACTTGTCTCAATTTTTTCAGTTGCTGGATTTCCGTAGAAATTACTCGAATATCGTCTTTGAATGTTGAACTTGGTGAATATATTGATGTGTCAGAAGAGTAGAATTGGTGAGTGAAGCAATGAGTTCTCTTCCTTTTTGTTTACAAATACGTAGTACAACTTTATTTTTAATAACATGCTTTGATGATCCAGCTTTGAAATGTTGGCAAAAAAAGGAGTTTTTATTACTTTCAAAAATTGATCCTGTGTTCCTTAATACAACTGAAGCTTATGACATGATTCGTTCGGGAATTGTAAGTCGCGAAACTTAGAGATCCTTGACATTTAAAATTAAAGTTCATTTTAAGTTTTAATTCTTTGAAGTCTAAAATGACTTAAGGAATTGTACTGTAAACTCAATGTGATAAATAGACATTATGAAAATTGATGAATGGAAATTTTTAGTTTTTTACTATTTAATGAAATTTTGTTTGCGATTATCATATGCTTCGGTGAAATGAATTGGAATTAGGAAGCATTGCATTTATCAAGCAGTTAAGGAAAAGTACGAAAAAAGAGAAAGCCAGAATTATCAGATTACAAGTTTTAGAATCACGAGGATCTCCGCTTTGCTCTACCATAGTGGTCAGTAGCGATACCGATGATATCGATTCGGATTCGAAGCAAATATCGTTTGTTCAAGTATCGTTTCCCTGTGAGGTATCATTTTATCTACTCACACATTTTCTTGGAAAGGCATTGGATGTAATCAGAAATTTTGAATTTGACTCAATAGTTTACATAAAGCCTGCAAACCCTGATTTAAAAACAATTTTTTATGATTTCCTTTCAGTGTTTTTTAATTCAGAAATTGAAGAAATTGATTGAGGGTCTGGTAAATGTCAAAGCAAATTTTATTTGCAACAAAATAGTCAAAGCAAATTTTATTTGCAACAAAACAGTTTAAATGAAAATGTTTTATTGAGGTTTTGAATTGTATCTTTTTTTAGTTTAGTTGGAGATGAAATGGATATCATAAATATTAGAAAATATTAGAAGGAAGGGGAGATAATAAATAAAACAAATCACTGCAACAATGGTGTAGACTTTTGAAGTACATTGACATAGCATACTCAGTACCAGCGGCAAGATGTAATAGGAAATATATAGGTACATTAAGTAATAATTCGTGTATTATATGATTTTATTATCTTCAGTATATTTGTATCAAGTTGCAAATATATTGTGTGTATTGGTTAGTGAACGAAATGTTTATAGTAGCTAATATCCAGATGTCAAAATCGTTGGCTTATGTTGGGCGTAGAGTCATACCCTAGTTAGCAGCCGTATATAATTTAACGCGTATTACAGTATTCCTTTTCAGTCATATGTAATTCGGTCATATCATGGTTTGATCGTTTAATTATTAATTTTGGAGAGGTTTTGATCGCAATAGTTGGATGTCTGTGTAAATACGTGGGATAACAGAGAAATAAACCAATTTCTTTATTAATAGAAGTAATAAGACAATAAGTTGATAGAGAACAATTGAAATTGAAATCGTCTGGTTCTTGGCAACAAATTACACATATATTAAAATGTTTTAACAAGGATGACCCTTATAGTTATATCTTACATTATATGTGTTAGGATGTGCTTATAATTAGACATTTTTGTACAAAGGATAAATGATCTTGACATGATAGTAGGTAACGTTAACAATAGATTTTACAATGGACATCACAAAGAAAAGTACAGTGGGTTGTCTAGACTTTATGGTGGGTGGCTATTATAATGAGTTGCAATAGACATTAGATGATAGATGCTCATAGTATATGAATTGATATGAGATCAAAAGTCAATTAAACCATTACGATGAATTGTAAAAAACATCAATGGATTGCTATATTAACATTGTTAACATTTATTTAGTACTTCGCAATGTTAAATCCGCGACATTGGCGAAACAGTCGTTCATAACGAAGCCATTCGAATTTGGCTTAGAATTTCTGGTTTTTTTTTTCCCTTATTTTTTGAATTTCTCATAATAACAAAAAGTGTAGCTCAACACCGAGAAAAGGCCATGATCAACACAAACGCCATGTAGACCATCATTCGACATTTTTTCTAAGCTTGTATTTCGACAGTTGTGAACTTCATTAGATTTCTAAACTTATTCTAGATGAATGGCTCAAACTTGACAAATTCGAAGGAAAATATGCTTAAAGACTTGGAATCTAGCTCTTGAACTCTTTCTTTTTGACATAGAGTAGCAAGCTTAATTCATGTGATCCTCTAAATGGGAACCGAATTTGATGATGAGAATTTGTGGAGCGAAAATATGGATTTCTCATGGTTTATTGCAACTAAGTGTAATGCAGTGTTGGATTTGCAAACAATTTTATGGATTTTCTTTCATTTCAAATGATTTCTTTGAGAAATTGATCTTGCCAGTAAACGCAGAAAACGTTCAATGGTAAGATTACAATTATTCTACTACTAAGCTTTAGTTATTAATTATTAATATTTATTTTATGCAGAAATATGAAGGGATTTTTGGTGAAGTTTTAGTGAAGACGGAATCAGAACTGTAATTAATGGTATTATTTTTGAGTTCGATATAAATATACTTTTAAGGATGCTGGAAACAATACGGAAAATCATTAGAGTCTTTGATGAATGAAGCTAAGCAATGCTATGTAACAGAAAAGGTGAATTTAAGCAGTTTTCATGCTGAGAAAAGCTGGAATTTTTGTGAATTATTTTTCGGTTCTCTTTTTTGTATGGCACATTGAATATTGACAAAGGAAAATCCTGAGGTTTGGTTTGTGGTAGTAAGCTTAGTGGATAAATATTGATTGCTTTAAAGATCAGTAAAAAACCATTAGCATCTTATATTCTTTGGTACCATTAACACAATAAGGAGTAATACTATTTTTAGTTTATTCTCCCGTGTAAAAGAATTAATTACTACAATATTGTTTTAAACAAAACGCGCTGTTGTAAATAGCTTGATTCAAGTATCAGCTGATGAATTGTTGGTTAGTATTGTGAAATTGCTGATAGCCGAAAAGTTAAGGAATTAATTATGGTCCGAGTTTGTTTGATCCCAGTTGATTGTTATAGATCTGTTCTCTATCTGACATATGTTTATTAGCTTTACAAATATTTTTCTGACTTTTATCAAAACGTGATGCTGTTTATTTTTGCTGGAACTCGAAAATTTTAGTTTTAATGTTAATAATGAAAACATGTATTATGTTTGTTGTGCACTACAGTAGAGCTTTTCATAAACGCCCATTCGCGCTTCTAAAAATATATCGATTTAATATCCTGTCATCAGTTGACAATATTTCACCTCACTATGAATATTTCACCATGAATGCTTTTAGATAATAAAAGGTGTATTCGAGCATGTCTTGCCTAAAAAGCATTCCATTTAATTTACTTCCTTGGGTAAAGAAAACTACTAAGTGGAGAATAAGCTGCTGCTTTCCATTTATTTGCTCTACGATAAACAAGACATTTCATTCGGTCCTTTTTAGGAAACAATTTGTTTGGAAGTAAAAATTACGATGGTTAACAGTGGTAAACAAAATTGGAGTCACAAACAAATGAGTATCAGTGATCACTTACTCCATGTAAAAGGTGTTCTGCATTTATTGCGAGTTCGTTCTTCAGTCAAGAAGTTTATCCCTTCCTGGAAATTGTGAGCAACATTTCACTTCATTATTCATCTCCTTTACCAGAAGATAGAGTGATGGAAAAAGACGTTTACTCTACACACTGTCTTGGGAGATTTATTTGAAAGTAATGAGAAGTGATGATTGAAAATCGCTTTATAACAATTTAAGTGACTTGAAAGCTTATAGAAAACGCGATAAAAAAATTGTAGATGTCCAATTTCAATAGATATTGTGCTCCACACGTTCTTTCCAGTTCCATTATGAAAATCTACTACGTAAACTTTTCTTAGCCTCCTAGAATTTGCAACAAAACAATCAGTGTCAACAGTTCTTATAATTTGAGTAATGGGACTGTTAACAAAGAAGGCAGATCGGGAAAACAATCGAAATAAAATCACAAATTTTAAAGAAATACACTCAACGATCACAGACAGATATAACTGAAAAGCATCTATACAAAGCAGCAAATGGTAGTATTCATGTTATTTAAGGACAAATAGAGGATCCAGCTCTTTTTCTCCTTCATTTTTCTTAGCGTCTACTTCCCAATCACAATTTCAATTTTAAACATAACATTCTGATACTAATAATAATAATAATAATAATAATAATAATAATAATAATAATAATAATAATAATAATAATAATAATAATAATAATAATAATAATAATAATAATAATAATAATAATAATAATAATAATAATAATAATAATAATAATAATAATAATAATAATAATAATAATAATAATAATAATAATAATAATAATAATAATAATAATAATAATAATAATAATAATAATAATAATAATAATAATAATAATAATAATAATAATAATAATAATAATAATAATAATAATAATAATAATAATAATAATAATAATAATAATAATAATAATAATAATAATAATAATAATAATAATAATAATAATAATAATAATAATAATAATAATAATAATAATAATAATAATAATAATAATAATAATAATAATAATAATAATAATAATAATAATAATAATAATAATAATAATAATAATAATAATAATAATAATAATAATAATAATAATAATAATAATAATAATAATAATAATAATAATAATAATAATAATAATAATAATAATAATAATAATAATAATAATAATAATAATAATAATAATAATAATAATAATAATAATAATAATAATAATAATAATAATAATAATAATAATAATAATAATAATAATAATAATAATAATAATAATAATAATAATAATAATAATAATAATAATAATAATAATAATAATAATAATAATAATAATAATAATAATAATAATAATAATAATAATAATAATAATAATAATAATAATAATAATAATAATAATAATAATAATAATAATAATAATAATAATAATAATAATAATAATAATAATAATAATAATAATAATAATAATAATAATAATAATAATAATAATAATAATAATAATAATAATAATAATAATAATAATAATAATAATAATAATAATAATAATAATAATAATAATAATAATAATAATAATAATAATAATAATAATAATAATAATAATAATAATAATAATAATAATAATAATAATAATAATAATAATAATAATAATAATAATAATAATAATAATAATAATAATAATAATAATAATAATAATAATAATAATAATAATAATAATAATAATAATAATAATAATAATAATAATAATAATAATAATAATAATAATAATAATAATAATAATAATAATAATAATAATAATAATAATAATAATAATAATAATAATAATAATAATAATAATAATAATAATAATAATAATAATAATAATAATAATAATAATAATAATAATAATAATAATAATAATAATAATAATAATAATAATAATAATAATAATAATAATAATAATAATAATAATAATAATAATAATAATAATAATAATAATAATAATAATAATAATAATAATAATAATAATAATAATAATAATAATAATAATAATAATAATAATAATAATAATAATAATAATAATAATAATAATAATAATAATAATAATAATAATAATAATAATAATAATAATAATAATAATAATAATAATAATAATAATAATAATAATAATAATAATAATAATAATAATAATAATAATAATAATAATAATAATAATAATAATAATAATAATAATAATAATAATAATAATAATAATAATAATAATAATAATAATAATAATAATAATAATAATAATAATAATAATAATAATAATAATAATAATAATAATAATAATAATAATAATAATAATAATAATAATAATAATAATAATAATAATAATAATAATAATAATAATAATAATAATAATAATAATAATAATAATAATAATAATAATAATAATAATAATAATAATAATAATAATAATAATAATAATAATAATAATAATAATAATAATAATAATAATAATAATAATAATAATAATAATAATAATAATAATAATAATAATAATAATAATAATAATAATAATAATAATAATAATAATAATAATAATAATAATAATAATAATAATAATAATAATAATAATAATAATAATAATAATAATAATAATAATAATAATAATAATAATAATAATAATAATAATAATAATAATAATAATAATAATAATAATAATAATAATAATAATAATAATAATAATAATAATAATAATAATAATAATAATAATAATAATAATAATAATAATAATAATAATAATAATAATAATAATAATAATAATAATAATAATAATAATAATAATAATAATAATAATAATAATAATAATAATAATAATAATAATAATAATAATAATAATAATAATAATAATAATAATAATAATAATAATAATAATAATAATAATAATAATAATAATAATAATAATAATAATAATAATAATAATAATAATAATAATAATAATAATAATAATAATAATAATAATAATAATAATAATAATAATAATAATAATAATAATAATAATAATAATAATAATAATAATAATAATAATAATAATAATAATAATAATAATAATAATAATAATAATAATAATAATAATAATAATAATAATAATAATAATAATAATAATAATAATAATAATAATAATAATAATAATAATAATAATAATAATAATAATAATAATAATAATAATAATAATAATAATAATAATAATAATAATAATAATAATAATAATAATAATAATAATAATAATAATAATAATAATAATAATAATAATAATAATAATAATAATAATAATAATAATAATAATAATAATAATAATAATAATAATAATAATAATAATAATAATAATAATAATAATAATAATAATAATAATAATAATAATAATAATAATAATAATAATAATAATAATAATAATAATAATAATAATAATAATAATAATAATAATAATAATAATAATAATAATAATAATAATAATAATAATAATAATAATAATAATAATAATAATAATAATAATAATAATAATAATAATAATAATAATAATAATAATAATAATAATAATAATAATAATAATAATAATAATAATAATAATAATAATAATAATAATAATAATAATAATAATAATAATAATAATAATAATAATAATAATAATAATAATAATAATAATAATAATAATAATAATAATAATAATAATAATAATAATAATAATAATAATAATAATAATAATAATAATAATAATAATAAATAATAATAATAGTGACAATAACAATAATAATTATAATATAATGAGAATAATAGTAGTAATAGTAATAACAACAGTAATGATAATAACAATCTTTCTTCACTTGCTCCTTTACTGGAATTTTTATCATTAATAATAATATTAAGACGAAATCTCTTCAAACACAAATTTGATCCAAGCAATACACATATGAATTAATAATTCTAAAAATATTCTGCTCTGATTATGAAGGTTAAGAAGAAACAGGTATAAGTGGACGGCTTGGAGCGCGCAATAATCAGTAAAATAATACCTTAAAATAAATAATTGGAAAAAATAGTAGTAAAATATCAGTTTATCAATATACCAGACTGTGGAATTTCCTAGTGAAATCTGTAAAAGCTTCCATCTTTGGATTTACTTAGTAGAAATTATTGGTTTTTGGAAAAACATATCAGTCGATGCAATTCCAAATCACTGCTCGCTTTGGAATTTTGCAATAATAATGAAAATTTCAATATGAACAGAATTACATAACTGTTCTTATTTGATTTGCTTCAAACATGTCGTAGACCAAATCTCCAAGTTTTAGCATATCAGTTCTTCGAGATCTCTTCTCAGTGGCATGAGTCATCACAAAAATTAAAATTTTCAACCCAAAACTGATAAATCAGAAGAAAAACGTGGAATACTTATTTTATTTGTCAGCTAATGTTTTTAGACAGTTAATGTTTTTAGTTATATGCGACTGGTGCAGCGTTCAATCCAGGCACATTATTATTGTTGAAGGAGTGACGCTGACATCCCCGTAGAACTCGATCTTTTAACCTGAAATCATAAAAACGGTAAAATACTCATTGCAGAAATCAACTAATTTTTCAGTTCTTTGTATCACCATAAATACTAATCAGAACTAATAGTCATCTTTTTTAAATAGAAAAAGAGATGAAATAAAAGAGATGTAAGATAAGTATAAAATTTCAAAAAGTGGTTGATAAAAAAGAACTGGAAGTAAGCACAGACGAAATTTGCAGAACCAAAGTTTAGAGATGTATACAAATTAAAGATGTGTCAATAGCAAGAAAGCACCAACATATTAAAAATATTAATATGGCGAATAAATTAAAAGAAGTTGATGCTAAAAAATATTTCAAATAGTGTAATTTTGACGGGAATAAGCTTATGAAATAGTGAACAGACCCATGTTTACCTGTCATTACCGTATTCGCAAACAATACACTTTTTATTTCAATTAAGTGCCAATAAAACTTGATATGCATGAGATGACTTCATGATTGTGTTATATGTACAATTTCGCAGCAGTACCAAATGCACTTCGAGCCTCTAAAAATTAAATTAAAGCATCTTAAGATTTCAGCAGAAATTCGAATTCCAAAATCCATTATATCTTATGCTACCAACTGAAAGAACATGCTATTGTTATGGCGATTTTTTGACAAAGATTCAGACATCAACAGGTAGCATTATTCATAATTGGAGAACTCCTTACACATAAGGACTTGAATTTTTTGTCGTAATTTCTGGAAGCAGCAAGTGGTATAATTTGCTTTCTAGTTAGAAGAAATCATCAATTTGTGAGCTGCGAAACAATAACTACTACTAACAATGGCTTATGCACTGAAATGACAAAACTTACTTCGAGCGTACATTCAACGTCAGGGCTATCGGCCATTTTTGAAATCAACATTTAAAAATTCGATAGACTGAATTTGCCATGCTCTAATGTGAACTATACCACGAAGTAACCGTTGAAAAGTCGGGTAATTTGCCTAAAATCAGTTTTAAGAGTGAAAAAGAACTCATCCGTTTTATGAATTTAAGCAGAGACAGCAATAGACAGTAAGCAATAGACAATATTGTCCTTCTCAAAAAAGCAGGCGATTTGAAGTAACCAATAAGTTCAGTGAAACTGAAATATTCATACAGCGAATGGACGAAGATCGCATCGTGAATGGAACTGTAGGATGAATTTACCACTGCTCGTTTCCATAACTGATAAGCGATCAGGTGATAAACCCACTCGATACATATAATCGACGCCATCCAAGAATTGCTGACCTGATGTTGTCAACAGTAACTTCTCCGTTGCCATTGCAGTTAAACTTTTCACCAGAATCATTCTACTGCAAAGTTTTCTCTGTCATTTATTGATATCTAATGTCGAATAGCACTAGGTCTAAAAAGACGCATGGATTCCACGAACGACCTGAAAAATCGGACATTTTTTTATGATGGGGAAGGCTAACAGGCTACAGCCTTCCCCATCTTTTTCATACAACTAATGAAGCAAATCGTTCAAGTGAAAAATCAGCAGAATACTAACGGACAGAAGTGGTACCAACGAAATGCCATCTAGGATGAAGAGGTAAGATAAGAAATAATGACAATGACAGGAATACTAGATAGAAGAAAAAGAAATTAGTGAATGATAATGCATTGTAAAAGTCAAAACAATGATTTAGAGTACAATAGAAATGGAAAAGGACGAGACCGACCGCAATCCACGGTGATGTAGCGAACTCTCCTCACACCCTCTCTAGACTAGCCACCGATAACCGATAACAAACAGTTTACGAATTGCGCAGTTTTCCAATCGGGGATTTGTGAGCGTTGTTGAATTGTGACGGGCCGCGGTCTACATGACTTATTGCAGCAGTGGGAAGTCTTTATTCCGATTTCCTTTGATATGATTCTATTGCTTAGTGGCATTGTGAAGCATTGGGGATCTCGTCGTTGTTGAAGTTCATTGCTCACTGTGTTGTATGATTACTGCTGATACCCTCTTCATTGATACTTGCTTGTCCATTTCCGGATATACTTTTTTTCTCTTCAGTGCAGTTCCTTTTAGTTTTGAGTATAAGAAGAAAGTGAGTTTTTTTATCTTGGGTGCGGAATATTTGAACTTCCCTGCGGAGAAGGAAAATTTCGATGCTTACAATCAAAAATGAGAAACCTCTGGATATAATTTGTCATAACTTTACATAGCGGAAAATTTTGTGATCTACTTCGACTAGTGGTGGGATGATGGAAATATTCAGTATTATTAGTAAGTATCATTAAACATTTAGTGGGTCCACACCAATATTCAAACATAGCATAAAGGCCATCGATGCTGTTCTCGTACGTTCTTTTGAATATTTCCTCGTGTAATACCTCTCAAAGATGAATAGCTGAAAATTTATGGATTCCATTTTTCCTAAATCGTCCTACTCCAATGAATGAATCAATTTATGATGATTGTAAACAAGTAAAAAAGCTGAAATTTTCGAAAAAATATATAAAAGATATGCCATAAATCTCTATCAGTAATTTCCTCCTTTTCTCCACATATCGTTATTTCTTGAAACTATGTTGGCAGCGGATGGATCGCTGCTTTAAAATAATATTTAATACAAATTTTTTAAATAATATTTCACTGAATAAGAAACTTTGTGTGATTCTGCCTCACTTACTACCAAATATACATATAAATCATAATTTTCTAATATATGTTTTTGCACATATATGATAACTTCTAGTACAAATCACATTACTAATAAGAAGAATAAAGATTCGCTTTTATTTACCACAAAATGATTTTTTTTTTTTATGATCAAGGAGTAATGTAAATGGATAAATTCAGATCACGAAATATAAATTATGCTTACCAAACTTTTTATGCTATTTTAGGCACTCAATCAAACCAGGTTAATTTTCGTTCATTGTATGATTTTTTCTCATTCTCATCTAACTCAAACATATACTCTGCTAAGGAAAAAAGGAAGTAAAATAAAAAATTTGACGTTAAACTTACGGCATCACTTATTCATGAATAAACTGCCCGGTTCTCCTTTCGCGAATGATTGAATTGCGGAATATAGTTTTCTATAGCAGGTAAGGATCTGGAATAATAACTGCGGAAAATTTAGTCTAGTTTCAGAAACTAACCATATTTTTTCAAAATCAAACATTTGATGATAGTAATGCAAAGCAGGTTGCGAGTACATTTTGAGGATGGAAAATTTAATAATTTTTTTGGAAGGGATTATGCATTTTAATCAAGAACCAGAAAAGTTTCAACTTCAGTTCTTCTCTATAAAGAATTGTACTATTGGTTTTACTAATAGAGGAATTATTATATTCCATTCAGTGCTGTAATGTGATCCTTTATCCTTAGTGATCACATTACTTTCCATTATTGCCTTAGAACAAAGATATAAAATCAAACGTTTTCAACAACTTTCAACGATTGCGCATTGGAAGATCAAAATCATTTGCTTTAGAGGTAGAAATTTGCTTTAAATGCTTTAAAAGGTCTATTTATCAATTGTAAGGCATTCTCAATTTTGACGTGGAAACGTGAAATGCTTTTATCTTAGTTTATCTTAGTGCTTTTATCTATTGTAACAGTATTGTAAAAGAGATTGATCTCTTTCCTGCTTCACAATTCGAACGACAAATAATAACCAAAGAATAAAACAAAGTTGATCAGTCGAAGAATCAAATCCATCCAATATTTGATTTTATTTCTTTGCTATAAGATAAAACAATAAAAGAGAATTATTTGGCTATAGAGGGAAATGATGACGTAGATATTGGGAATTCTGAAGGAAACGAAAGGACGAAAGATGTCGAAAATATTGAACTGATGGCCCTTCAACAGCAATTCACGTACGTAGGAAGGTGTGGTATAATTTATCATTATAAAATTGTTTGCTAATAGAAATGATTTCAGATTTTCTTTTTAGAATTTTTCTTCTTTTTAGATATTATTACTTTAGGAATGAATTTGTTTCATTGGTTTAGTTGTAAATGTTAAAATTCGCTTTTCAGAAAGCACTACAAAAACAAGAAGCTTTTCTTTTTATTTGAGATCGATATGTACACACTTTTCGAAGCACTGAAGCTAGTTGCACATAATCTATAAATTATTCCAATCATTTATTTCACAAATTTTATAATAAACAAAAAAATCTTCCATAAAATTGACAATTTTTTTTTTCTTTTTCAATAAAGAAAAAAACTTCAATGTTATATCACTTTCAATCATTGCTCATGTTGTTATCAAATTTTTTTTCCTTTCATAATATACAAATCTTTATTAATCATCGCTACTTTTTCTCTACTCTTTAACAAAATATTAGCAATTATATAATTTTTACACCGTTTTCAGTTTCTCAAAATACATTGCTCTTTTCTTTCTATACTTCATATTCCCTAAAAATTCTTCAATCATACTTTAATAATACTTTTAACATCAGAGTAGAGCAATTAAGCAAGCTACGAAATTTAGAAAAAATTAGACATGAAGGAACAATAGTTCAGAATTTCGGCACAGTGGTCCGGAATTTCGGTACGATCTAATTCAGTTATAATCACATGTCACACGTTGCATCTCTATGAAACATACAATCTCACTGAACTATTTTTGGATTTAACTTATAAAAAATTAATTATGACAGCAATTCAAATGTTTCACATCATTTAGGATGCGGAGCCAAAAAATAAGCTCATCGGAAAGTTAAGGGTTAAGAAATTTTTTTTTTTTAGCTATGTTAAATAAAAATTGATACGATCTGAAATCAAACAAAAAGCTAAAATTCATTCTCCCATCAAAAATTTGAAATTCATATATGACACCAATATTTCAATACAAAAATTGAAAATTTGTTTAAAATTCAAAATATGACAAAATAATTTGTAGTAAATACAAATATTACACATTCGCATTACTATTAATACAAATACAAAAAATTATTAACATTTCGGAATATTTTATTAATAATTCATAGAATACTATTATCTCATTATGTAAATTATAATTTACATTAAAATTCCACTTTATTTTTCTTCTTTTTTTTAATTTTGTCTCTGAAATTAACACATGTTTCAAGAGACAAGTCGACGTGTAACAATTACAATGATGCAATATACATTTTTAGCTTGCCTTAGTGAATATGCAAATTTTTTCAGGAGAGTTCTTATCCTAATATTTATTAACTGGAATGAGTTCACTCAGTCATTATTGTAGTGTATCATTCTGGGAATTGGTTTGGTCTTCCTGCTTCAGTTGCTTTTGTGGTATTATTCAATTGGGAAATGTTATCATTTCAATTTAATACTAATTCATTAATATACTATATTACATCTTATATAATTATATTTAAATTATTTTCATTTAATACTATTTTACTTGTTCCTAACTTTAATTAATTGATGCTTTAGCTAATTAAAATTACATTAAGTGAGCTAAAATATTGAAATTTTCAATATTTTATTTGTGCGAATTACTATTTCAGAATTAAATCAATTTAGAAGATTATTTGAACATTGGAAATATAATAGTCTTGTTAAAATTTTATTTAGCAAAATTGTTGCTTTAAACAGTATCTAATAATGTTTGATAACTGTTATTACAATTATACGATCAATTTAATGATTATATGAGAAAAGAAAATTGATTAATTCATTTAATTAATTTGCTTTTCAAATTATTGCTTATTTGCTAATAAATTAATTAGACAAATAATAATAAATTTAGCATCTTCATTAAAAATTATTAATGCTTTGTTTTTCAGCAAGAACTTGCAATTATATGATTAAATGGATACGAAAAGGATGGTATGAACTTTTTTTTTGTTTTTATTCAAATTTAATTCATTTGTTCAGCTGCTTGAAAGGTAGATAATTAAATCAATTTTAAGTAAATATATAACTTAAAAATAAACTTAAATTATAACTTAGAAATATAACTCAAATATGGTATAACTTTAAAAAATAATAATAATAATTAATATAACATAAAAAAAAATAATAATAATAAATAAATAAATCTTTATAATGATTGATTCTAAACATTTTCTATTCAATGTTTATTATATTCAATATCTAAAGTTGTTAATTAGAATTTTTAAATTCTTAAAATGTTTTGTCAAAAAATAAAATAAAACAAAAAAAATTATCTGAGCTAATAGCTCTTATTTCATATCAATAGCAAATAAATAAGTTGTCACAAATTTGCATAGTCTTTGCTTATATGTACTAAATTTGCATATTTCATCTTTTCATATTTCTCACTTATATGCATTAAAATTTACATTTTTTTTTTCTTGCAAAATGAAACAATTTAATAACTGTATTAAATAAATGAAGTAAAAATAGTTGAAATTTAAATGAATTATAGCGTGAAGTTATTTCGTTGCACATTGGACAAGCTGGAGTACAAATTGGTAGTGCTTGTTGGGAGCTATTTTGCTTGGAGCATGGTATCGATCCGAGCGGTCGCCTGAATTTGCAATCGGATCAATTGGGAAACGTGACATCTCATCGTTGACAACTTTTTCTCCGAAGCTGCTGATGGGCACTACGTGCCTCGTACTTTATTGGTTGACTTAGAGCCAACGGTTGTCGGTAATTGAAAGTTTAGAATTTTAATTTTAATAAAATTAAATTTTTTTCTCATAAATTTTTATTTTATTTTTCAATTATTTAAATAAGAATGAATATATTAATTAAGTATATTGATTTAGCAGATATAATGATAAATAGATTCTTAAATTTGTTAATATTATTAGATGTGGTTCGTACGGGAAAATATAAGGATTTATTTCATCCGCTACAGATGATAACTGGTCGTGAGGATGCAGCAAATAATTATGCCCGTGGGCATTATTCAATTGGTAAAGATATGATTGATAAAGTTATGGATCGTATTCGACGTTTGGCTGAGAATTGTGATGGATTGCAAGGTTATTGCTTTTTTATTTTATCAAAAAATCTTAACCTTATCAGATATATAACTTTTTTCAATTTAAAAAATTTTTCATTTTCGTTTACTAAATGAAACGGAAATGAAAAGAATAAATGTAAATGTAATATATATATGTATATATATAAATGAATAATAATTGAAAGAACGATTGAAATATCTTATTTTCTTTTTCAGGATTCCTTCTGTTCCATTCATTTGGTGGTGGTACCGGTTCAGGTTTTTCATCTCTGTTAATGGAACACTTAACAATTGATTATGGTAAAAAAAGCAAGCTAGAATTTTCGATCTATCCGGCACCGCATATTTCGACATCTGTAGTGGAGCCATATAATTCTGTCCTTATGACTCATGCTACCCTTGAGCATGCTGATTGTTCATTCATTATGGACAATGAGGCAATTTATGACTTATATCATCATAAGTTGAATGTTGATCGACCATCCTATCCAAATCTAAATCGTCTCATTGCTCAAGTTTGCTCATCTATAATTTTTAAGCTTAGGCATTTTGGTAGTTTATGACACAATATGACACTTATGACAAAATCAGTTATTATAAAAATATGGAATGTAAAAAAAAACAAACAAAAATTATGATCTGTTTTATGAGAAATATTATGCTAAGGATGAAAATGATCAGTTGTTTACTTTATTTTATTAATAGATATGAACACGCCTAAATGTATAAAAATTTTTCTGAAATTTTAACATTATTTATTAATAAAAAACTAAAACATTGAAACATGATTGAAATCAATAGCTATTTTGATCATTCAACTTCAAATCAGTGTTTTTTTTTTTTTCTTTCAGGTTGTTTCGTCGACTACCGCTTCGCTGCGCTTTGAAGGTGCGCTAAACGTAGATCTGATTGAATTTCAGACAAATTTGGTGCCATATCCACGTATTCATTTCCCATTGGTGTCATATGCTCCGATAGTTTCCGTCAAGAAAGCTTGTTATGAAACTCTTTCGGTGATGGATATTACCAGAGATTGTTTTGAAACTTCCAATCAAATGGTGAAAGTGAGCTACTATAAATTATAATCCTTTTTGTTTCAATTTTGTACTATTGTTTTTCTTAATTTTTACATACAAATAATTTTCTTTTTTCGCATCACTTCATTTCGAACTATTTCAAGCATTTCAGCATAAATAATCAATCGATTTATTTTAATTTAATTTGCTGTATTTAATTTATCATTTTGTTTTATTTCTTGTCATATAAAAGTAAGTTATTTGTCAGTGTGATCCGACAAAGGGTAAATATATGTCAATTTGCCTTTTATACCGTGGTAATGTCACACCAAACGATGTCAATGAAGCCATTAGTGCTGTCCGTCATCGCAGACAGATTAATTTTGTAGAGTGGTGTCCAACTGGATTCAAGGTTCAAATTGCTATTTTAAAAATAATTCATGAAGTCATCAAAGCTATTATGAATAATTTGATTATTGAAGTGAAGACATCTTTTCATGTTGTAAAGATTTTTTTTGTTCCTTAGAAAAATTTTAAGCAAAATTAAACTTTTAGATTGGAGTTAACCATGAGCCACCAACAGCTGTACCAGATGATGATGCTGCATCTGTACCACGTGCTCTCTGCATGTTAGCCAATACAACAGCTATTGCTGAAGCGTGGGCTCGTTTAGATGCCAAATTCGATCTGATGTATTCAAAACGAGCTTTTATACATTGGTTTATTGGTGAGGGTATGGAGGAAGATGAATTTATTGACGCACGTGAAGACATGGACCTTCTTGAGAGGGACTATAAGGAAGTGTGTATCCTAATTCTTTTTGTAAAAAGATGATTAAGATTAGTGAGTGATTTATTTATAAATGCTATTTTAGCTTGCAGCGAATGAATTTGATGCTGATTCGAACGATGGCAACGATTTCTGAAAGGAATGATGGAAATGAGAGAAGCTGTGAGCAGCAATTAAATTTTCATAATTTTTCTTACTATTTAAAGTAACCACGCATATAATATGTATTCTTATGTATTTTATTTGTTTTTCTAATAAAATAATGTTTTTTTCTTATATTACGAAAAAAAGTAGAATTAAGAAATTTGAAAGTTAATATATCAAATAGTTATCATTTGATGGAAACACACACGAGTTATCACATGCACAACCATATTAATAAGTTATGAAATGATTTATTAATAATGAAGATGAAAAAGATTCAAACTTTTGCTTAAAACCTTTAAAAAGAGTTAGATTTAATTTCCAACAAAAAAAAAAAAAAAAAAAAAAAAAAAGCGAAATCGAATGAAACAATTAAAAAATACTCATACAATATACAATGTCTAAAAATAACAAATAACCTATTGCTGCCTAGTTATCTTGCATGTGGTTGCCAACGTTCATAACTTCCACACGTCTGATATAATAAAATCATTAGGTCTTAGGATTGTGGAATCGTCGAAGGTTTACGTAGGTTAGTAGGGAATATTAAGTATGCTTTAAATTTCCACTATTATGACTATAAACTCTTTTTCTTTTAGCAGTTTCCTACCTATCTATTTTTTAAAATCTCTTATCGTTAGTTACTGTCATTATGTCATAATAAATAGCCAATAGTTAACAGAAATGAATTTACAACTGCAAGCAATAATAGCATACTGATTAGGATGGTACGAAGTGAATGACATACAGTAGTACTATTTTAATGACATTTGATTTATATAGGTAGTAATCAAATGGGATATAGAATAGAAATCAATTAAATAATAATGATATTACGATAGACAACTTTATCATTTATGTATGACATATAAATTCATATTGGATCCTAAGTTTCTAAATTCCTTTTCCTTCATCTTCGCTCATTTGACGCCATTATTTGTCAAGAAACCTTCTATCCTTGTTTTGTTTCATCAATATTTAGCAAAATTTAGCAAAAATCTTTCTGACTTTCAATTCATTTAACATTATTCGAGACTGTTCTTGAATTCCTCTTATGGCTTGGCAGAAAACTTGTAAGCCAACTAAATGAAGTAAACTATTTTTTTAACATAATATAAACAACTTTTTTTCTTTATCTTTTCGCAATATATATAAATAGAGGTTTCAGTTATAAAATTTTTAAATTTCGAGATAGAAATCTAAAGTCCGAATATGGTTACATTTGAAATCTTGAAATTTTGGATTCTCGTCTTAGTTGAGGAACAGTTTACTTTCTCTTGAAAATGACTATTCTAGCTACTCAGGCTCATTTTTTTTCTGGAAGTATAAGCAGAAATAACTGTAAAAATGAAATTCTTTCAAATATAACTGCATGTTTAAAATTATAGCTTTGTGAGGTAAATATTGATTGTTATATCATAAGTTTTGTTTGATACTAATTGCCTGTTGCTTTTCTTCTCAGAAATATTATAAACCAGCATTCTTTTTTTGCTATATCTAAGTTAATTTTTATTTACTTATATACATATGTATTTTGTTCTAATAATTTAACTCTTATATTTCATTGTCTTTTCTATTGAATTTATTCTTTTCTATATTCTGTATTGTTTCTATTGTTTAATTCACTATCATTATTATCATTTTCGCACTAATCACGATGACATGCTACCTGATAAATTGTCAGTGGTTGTAAACAAATGTATATCTCTGATGCAGCACTTCCTTCCACTTTTATATGTATTATTACTAACCCTCCTTATATTTATATGTATTATTACTAACCTTCCGTAAAGAGGAAAGAAGGGATCCGGTAAAGTTCCGTGATGGTTTGGTAGTACTTCAAGTAGCAATCTTTCGACAAATTTATTCCACATTTGTTATACGTCTAATTTCTTTTTATGTAATATCATTAGCACCTCACCGGATGAGACTCAAATTTGCATTATTCTTCAATTCTGTCATGGACGAAAGAGATATAGTGGTGGTCCTTGTGTTATCTACCTGATTTGAAAATATTGCTTCTCTCTAAAAAAAAAAAAAGTATTCCTATGAAATCTATGGCGTATATGGCAGACACCTCTAAACATTTCGAAATTTCTGGGATAGTAGAAAGTTTTATCACTTCTTTTTGTCAAAACCAAAAACATGTGATCCAAAAAATATTCCCTAAGTATCAGGTGAAATTCCTACTGGAGATATTCACGCCATTTCTTTTGAGGATATAAGGATATATTGTAATCTCTGAATAAGCGAGAAAAGAATGACCTTACATCAGTATTCTCCATTCAAATCCCCTTTCCAAGGTTGTTTTCCCTTAATGATGATTGAATGATTATGCGTTCGTGACAGATCAAAGCTAGTACTACTGAATTGCACCTTGAATTTAATCAGTTGTACAAAGCAGGACCGTTCATTCTATAGAAATATTGGAAATTTGGAAGATATACTTTCCTTGAAATATTGCTGATCTAATTATCTGGAAAATCGAAGTGTTTTCATATCAGAATTATGGCTGTGTGGGACAAAATTCGAGGATGGTTATATGGTTGGCTCGAAAAAAGAAAACTCGGCACATCTCCTTCAGCACTACTCCTTTGGCGAATTATGGTGGAAAACACGTTTCCGATGCGAACTATGTATATCAGGTTTATGTATTTTCCATAATTTTTGCTTCTATTTATGTTATTGACTTATGCATAGAGTAAAATAAGTTTTCATGGAAAAATTATTATGTGTATGTAAGGTGCTCATTTAATGTTTAGAGAAAAATCAATGCAAATTTTCAAGACAGCATCATAGGGGTTAGGAATCTCGGTGTTTAAGAAGAATGCTATTAACGTTGCTAGAGATTTTGCACATTTTCTAATTCGACAAAAGTTGCTGGATCCGACGAACTTCCCGAAGCTTGCTGTATTTTTTATTTATGTCCATTATTAGATTAAGTATTTTTAGATTGGTGATCTTTGCATGTCAGTTTTACTAAGTGCTAAGTGTCTCGTTCAATTTGATACGCTATTTATGTGTATCAAAATTAATACTTCACACTGAAGTATTTATTAACATCTATTGAACTTTCTGTGATTCTTTTATATTTTTCATTTACACTATATTTTAATGCTTAAACACTACTCTCTTCTTGAATTGATAATAAGACACGCTATTAGTAATTCATTAGTCGTTTTCATTAATTATTCGTTTTTTTCTCGTCTTTCTTCCATTCATATAAGTGTGTCGCATCCATGCTGGAGGCAACAAATCTGGATTCATTTGCCAGAGCACTGGAAAATAACATTTTGTTGAAAACAGAAGAAAATAACTGCATAACAACCGACGTTTTAGTGGATATGTAGTGTATTCCGTCTTCGAGGATTAAAACAGAACATCAACGTTATATTGAGCAAAAAGCAGAAATAGCTCTAATTAGTTCTCCTCCTTTTTTTGACGATTTCGGAAAAATTAATCTTATCAAATGGGAAAAATTTTTTTGTCAGTATAATGTCTTTCTTCGATGAATGGAATCATCAATCTTCGGTCTATTATTTAGTTTCGAAAGTTATTAGCTTTTTTTTTTCCAGTTATGGTGAATTAAAAATATATCAGCAGAATGTAATAAAAAATGTTGCCTCAAATTCTTAAGCAACATTTTTCTTTTAAATTTAGCTTTCAAGTATTAACTGAGTGCTTTGTGCATGGATGACACTAGAAGTGATGCTTCGATGACCAAATGAATATTCCTAATAAATTAGGTTATAAAAGTGATCGTACTTAAGTACTTATGCAGACAAAATACTGTAGTGCTACTGTGAAATTTCTAGACAAATTTAATCTTATTCAACGAACATAATACGGTCTTTTTTATTTATTTTCTCTTGCTTATAAAAAATGAGAAAACTAAAGTTTCGCCTAGAGAAAACAAAAAACATGTCCTGCATACTAGATTGTCGATAACAGTGAACATTCTTTCCCTTCAAATATTAAAACATGAAAACAAAACAAATGAATCATGCAAACATCAATTTTGGAGATTATAAAATTTGAACACAATTGTAAACTAAAACATAAATGAAATGAAAAACATATCGAGAATTTTTCAAAAAGCTTAAAATTTCATTATTTGGTCGATATCCAACAGGTCCGACGTTTGCATCTGCTTTACGCATGCTTACTTTTGCTGCATTTATCTTAAAATTTGAATAAATAATTTTTTCAAAAAATTCAGCCAAAGTGTATTAGAAGAAAGAGCAATAAAAAATCTTCCGAATCTTCATTTCATCCAGGAAACACTTTTGAATAACCGACTGCCAAAAATTAAACAATCCGACTCACAATGTTGAACTAACAAACCTATTGAATATAACGGTCAGCAACTGGAAAAGTGAATAACATGCTTTTTTTCTAAACGATGATGGTTTAGTCGTGACGATGCTCATCATGGACAATAGTTAATATATGAAAAAAAAAAAAAAAAAAACAATATATGAAAAATATAAATCTATGAAATCAATTCCGTGTCAAGTTGATACTCTCTTTGAACAAACTGCCCATTGCTGTCGATAATTCTATCGTAATTTTATCTTGTCCAGTGTACAAAAAGTGCTCCAGTGAAACAGAATGTTACGTAGTATACATACCTACGATTTATGACATACCGATGCTACTGATAAATCCAAACGATTGTAATCAAATCAAGCATATAAATTATTTTTATCTTGGCGTAGTTAAGATTTTGACGGAAAGAATAGACTTCTACTGTCTCTTTTTTGTAGTATATCTAGAAATTTTGAAAATACTTCATATTTTGTCCTTGGGTTACACTCATATGATTATCACATTCACCTTGTCAGCTAGGCCTTTCTCTTTCTACTTTCAATTATTCTATCATGTTACATGCCAACATGGACCATCAAACATATGCGTTGGGGACGGAACAGAATCCAAAATGTTCCTTTTGCTTCTATGACATGACCACCCAGAATTTTATCTTAAATTCCCATTTAATGTTGTCAATGTGTTAAGATGTGCATATAATAAAATCGCATATGTGAGGGATTGGAAGTGTTTACAACAAGATCATATATGTTGTAAAAATGTTGATACGTTTAAACTGCATTCGATACATTTACACTGATACATTTAAAACTCTCATACCTTTAATAGATGCCATTGTCCAATAATTTCGCATTTGTAACTTATCTATATCTATATCATTTAAGCCATTATGCTAATTCCTCACACACAAAAAAAAAAATTCTTCGTTAGCAAACCCTTTATTAACATTCTTTGTTTCACATCAGCTAAAATTTTTCTGCCGGATATTTGGTCAATTCAGTTCTGCACATAAACAACCGTCCTCCATTACAGTTACCCATTTTCGGGTGGTTTTTGACATCATTTTAATATCTTATAATAGATTATATTTTTCGTTACGCATTATTATAATATTGATTTGTTGGTTTAATTACCCAAATTTGAGGCAAAACAAAGTATCTGGCAGTCAATACATTCCATGACAAAGTTATTTGGTGCCTGAGGTGAGGTATGTCTACCAGCATAATTGTAAGAGCAAAATCGGTAAAAGCAAATCTCGAAAAACTTTTCGATGAAACACGACCTATCTTTGTTAGACAAAAAGCGACAATAGAAGTATTGTGCCAGCAATACGAAACAAAGGCAAGAATCATCAAGGAAAAATTGATGCGTCCCGAAAAATACATTGGCACTCCGACGAATGGTTGGAATACATTCAACAAACCCAATGTCGCAAAGGAAGAAAGAAGAAAAGAAATATGAAGAAATGGCAACTGGTGATAGAGGTATTTTAAATTTAATTAATACAGGTACAGATACTATTATAATCTTATCAATATATGAGGACGATATCGAGTTAGCTCTTAAACGTTTAACACGAAATAAGGAACAGTCTAACTGAATATCGTCCAGTAGTAAATTTGTCTCAACTATCGTTACCAGCGTTCACTGGTGATCTTAAAACATGGAAAGAGTTTTGGAGTAGTTTCGAAGCCTCCATATACTCTCAAAACATACCCGATATACAAAAGTTAAATTACTTGGTTTCTTATCTAAGAGGAAGCGCCCTAGCTAGTAAAAGGACATGATAGACTACTTGAAAATTATAAGAGAATTACTGGTAGAAAAATTTGGTAGTGTTTCCACCATAAATGAGTTTATATCTTTAAAACGAAACGTTCGAAACTGGAAAACAATAGTCGAAGAAATGGAGCAATTGGGGAAAACGTAGAACAACCTATCATTGAAACTATAATAGAATCCAAATTACCAAACTGAATACTGAACCAAGTTTATCAATAAAAAGAAGATGACCAGTGGTCTATAATAAAACTTCGACAGTTTCTTAGGAAAAGAATCAACAGAAACGATCAGGTAAACGCAATATTCAAATAGCGTAAATTAAAGAAATTTGATTAGATCGCCATCCTAATTCAATCACTCCAGAACCCTCCGCATTGATTGAAATGAAACAATCAAAGCAAATGAGAGATAACGCTACTATCGAAAATATCCAGCCAAATCAAGAGAATTCAAGAAAGAGAGACCTTGTATTTTCTGCAACAAAAATCACTGGGATAGCAAGTGTCATATATATTCTATAGTCGAACAATGAATTGATCGATTGAAGAAAATCAATTGCTTTAAGCCTGGACTAGTAGAAAAGAAGGGAGTACTGCTTTTATGTAAAGAAGTTACTGTCTTTAATCCTGATAAACGTGAACATCAGTCACAAGCCTTAGTACTCTTTAACGTAGATGATACAACCCTTTATTTCTTAGCATAATCTTCTTGAAACTGAAGAATACAAAATCTCCTCCTTTGGCAATAGAATTCCCAGCAGTTGCCGCATAACTCAAACACAAATTGGAGTAAAGTCGGAAAGCTCCAATCAAATGACTGTCTAAGCCATTTATCTAACAAATGATCTTCAATGATTGAAGTAACACACAAAATTAAAATTTTCAATTTTAGAAGTTATAGAAAACAACCTGACTTAGTCATAGGAGTTGATTATTTTTTCGACTTTATTCATATGAAAAACACTCAGCAACTAAAGTCAGGACCCCAACATAGCAGGAAGTGATTATATTGACCCATTATGTGTTGTAACATCTATGCAACGAAGATATTCCAAGAAAATCGTGCTCCAGATGTAGACCAATTTTGGAAGTTAGACTTTATTGGTATTCAAGATCGACCTGATACACAAGATGATAAGCAAGCACTAAAGAATTTAAGAAGAGTATCACTAAGCAAAGTGGGATATGAAGTACGTCGGCCATGGAAACCATGCAAAGACAGCGATAATTACGGATTATACATTTACGAATGCTGATGGCACGATTTCAGTCCCATAGGGAGGAAATGCAAGAATATGATAAGATAATGCAAGATTAACTACGTTCTGGCATAATCGAAGAAGTACAATCACAAATGAATCAAAATGGAATCATTCATCATGATGTTCGTAATCCGGATAAGACTACCACTAAGAATTGTGTATGATGCTTCAGCACACATAAAGGGAAAGAAAAGTTTGAACGAAGTGATATATCGAGGACGAGTTAATCTACCAGATCTTGTAGATGTATTATTATGTTTTTGAATGATGAAGGGAGTAATTACAACTGATATTGAAAAGGCATTTTTGTAAATAGAATTACATCCTTCAGAGAGAAATTGTACTCGATTCTTTTGGCTAAAGGAATTAGAAGGAAAAGTATCCAACGAAAATATAAAATGTCTTTAGAAGAATTCCGTTTAGAGTAATATCTCGCTCCTTTTTATTATCAGCTACCCTGAATTATCATTTGGAAAACCATGATGGCGAATTAGCCTTAGAAATAACTAGAAATCTTTATGTGGACAATGTTATTGTATCATCAAATGGAACATAGGACGCATTAGAAAAATATGCGCAAATGAAATCCATCTTCAATAAACCTAAGGGAATTTTTATCTAACGATGAAGCTTCAGCAAGATCGAGCAATGAGAAAGAACACGAAAATTCTCGGCA